CAAATGGGTCAAAGGAGAACATATTTTCCAGCATTTATTTTAAGCATGAATATGAACAATAAAAGTTTCGATAATTTCATCCCAACAAGAATTCGAACAAGGGGAGCAGCAAGAGGAACATGAAATGAGCCCCAAACATATTTTTTTAACTCATGAAATGATTTCCAACATGTATTCCAACAAGGGACAACAACAAAAGCAAGAGTGAGCCCCGAAATACATTTTTTTATCTCATAAAACAATTTCCAACATGCATTCTAGCAAGAGACAGTAATAGAAGCAAGAATGAGCCCCCCAAATACATTTTTTCATCTCATAAAACAATTTCCAACATGCATTCTAGCAAGGGGCATCAATAGAAGCAAAAAGGAGCCCCCAAACATATTTTTTTCATAGACATTTATGAAGGAATAAAAATGTATTTCTAGACTACTCTAGCCATGACTTCAAATGTTTCAAGCGAAAGAAAAGTAGAGGTGATCCGTATATACATGCTTCATTTCTCACCATCCTAAGCCAATATTCATGCTTAAACTTCAAAATAAGGCTCCATACTTCATGTCATCCGAAATAATGCAAAATAGAGGAGAGGAGAAGAATACTTCTTTGGCTCCATACTTCATGTCATCCGAAATAATGCAAAATAATAATAGCCTACAAAAAACTTCTTTGGAAACCACTCCAATAATAGCCTACAAAAACTCCTCACGATTTCCAGCTCGCAGTTTGACAAATTCAAGCCTTGAGACCCTCGAACAACAGGGGGAAAAAGATCTCTCGAACAAGAACACAGAAGGAGGTAACTTTCTTAACAGCGAAGAATGGAACCTGTCTTAACAGCGAAGAATGGAAGCGGAAAACGCCAAGTCCTTCTAAAATCTCCCCTCTCTTAAAAGAAACCATTTCTTTAACCCCCTCTTTTTTTTTTTAGTCAAGAAGAAAAGACAGAAGCACCACCACCTCTCAAAATCTCCCTGTGAGCTAATAGCCAAAGAAACGAAAAAAAAAGGGGAGGAGCGTCGTCGCGTGGATTCACCGTGGAAGCTAGGGCACGGGCGAGGAGGAGCGGGACGAGCGCTTCAGCTGTTCGAACCCGTGAATGGGTCGAACAGATGGTGAAGGGTGCGGGTGCTAGCCTAAATAGGGTTAGATTTTAATATAATTATAATTTAGGGGTAAATAATTATAAAAAGCATTTAATATTTTGGAAAAATAAAATTTGAATTTGTGTTTTATTCGTGTGTCTTAACATATCGAATATGTATGTCACTTCTATGTATTTTCAACATTCCGAACGCGCTAGCGTGGTCCGCTTTGCTGTCTGAGGTCAATTTGACGAATTCATGAATTTGTGTGTCAATTTTCTCGTGTCGAAAGTATGACAATAAGAGTGTCCTTTCCTACCAAAATTGGTGTCCCGGACTCGTTGACGCAGTCCATTTTGTCGTCGGTGATCGTCCGGAGAAGTTCACATTTTCACCTATCCTTTAGGTTCAATTGAAGACCGTCCTCGTGCAATTTTGTAAATTTTTGTGCATTTGGTATGTGTATGTGACGAAAAAGTCTTGATGGTGTTTTCTTAGGGCCTGAAATCCTATTGGAAACTTCTCCCTGAGTCTCCACATAATAGTCCTTATCCTGCTCGTACATAAGACGATGTTTTTGGACCATAAATGCTAGACATCACAGGAAAAATAAGAAGTGTCTGGAATTTCTAAAAGGGTGGGTTCCAATGTTGGTTTTCTAAGATAATCTGTAGGAAACTCCTAAAGCTAGATCCTAAGCTCTATGAAGAAGGAGGAAAGACCTCACAAAAATGAGGTCAAGACTCTTGTGCCTAGTGTCCTAATTATCTCATGAACTGGGGTCAGATGTCTGGCTTCTTAGGATCATTAGAAGGATGAACTCTCTCAAGGTGTGCTCCTAAGATTTATGAAGCCTACACTTTAATTTGGGTCTGAAGTGTTCTAAAGTGTCTAACTTCAATTAAGTGTCATTCAATTAATCCTCGAACATCTTTAGATCAAGCTTAGCTCGCTATCAGACTCCTAAAACTTAAGGGGGGTAAACCTATAGTTTTGGCAAAAGGGTTGTGAAGTGTGCTTCAATCACAGTTAGAGCAATTGGATTTAAGTTTATTCAAAGCTTAAGGGCCTAAGTGTAGGTCTAGTGATCTTTCAATCAATGTCTCTAATTGTTATCTAAACTCTCACTTTCTTTCAACCCTCAAATATTCTTTCAATTACAATTTCATTTTTCTTATGCAAAAGGAATGATCAATGATTTGCTATCCTATCTCCTCTTTATGTTTTTATCATCTCAGCAGACCAAATTTCATTTTTAATTTCTTCTCCCTCTCTCTTTTATTTATATTTTTCTTTAAGACCATGAATCATTTCCAAAAATAATTAAATCGGAAATTCTCATTTTTAACTTGACCGTTAAAAAAAAATAAAACGAACGAAAAAAAAGAGACCGATCTATTTTTAAAACAAAGTTAAATCAGTAAAGCTTAAAATGAAATCGCGAATGCATCGGTCTAAAGACGTTTAAAACTGGTTAAAAAAAGATGAATCAATCTCAAACAGGGATTTAAAAGCCTCAAAATGTAACTTAAACCTTACTAAATAAGGTCTCTAGATCCTTGAATCAATCCAAGAAAGATTTCATATTCTCATATTTCATAAATGGATTATCCCGAGAAGGGTATCCTTTTCAAATAACAATCTTATGAATTCCAAAACACCACATGAATTCAATTTATATCAAATTCATAATTTATTAAAATAAAGTTTCAAGAAATCTTCATATGTCATAAAACAAGAAAACTTAATCCATAAAGAATAGCTCTTCTCTTTTTTTTTATCTCGAAAAGTCTCGAAAAGCTATGCCAATACCAATTCCAACTTTAATCACAAACACTTATCCCTTTTCTTTTACATCTCCTTAGAATGAAATTATTTTTGTAAATATCCATGACCAAGGCAATAGAAAGCGACAACCAAGCTCCAAGTCCAGCTCATGGGTAAGGGCCAAAAGAGAGGACTCACGGATAAGGCAGCAAGAAGAGGAGAGACCCAAAGGTAGCATAGACCCACGGGTAAGGGCCAAAAAGAAAGACCCGAAGGTAGCATAGACCCACGGGTAAGGGCCAAAAAGAAAGACCCGAAGGTAGCATAGACCCACGGGTAAGGGCCAAAAAGAAAGACCCAAAGGCAGCATAAACTCACGGGTAAGGCCAAAAAGAGAGACCCAAAGGCAGCAACACCAAGTAATGCACAAGGCCAAAGACAACAGCCAACCTTACCAAATCAGCCTCAAAGCAAAAGGGGAAAACCCCAAACCGAGCCTAGCAAAAGGGTAACCCGAACCCAGCATAAAGGAGCAAATCAAATCTAAGAAATGATCCAAACAGTAAAGGATCCCAACTAACATAAATCACCAAAAGGAGCCCAAATCGAGCCTAAGAAAAGGGGACAGCCGAGCCCAGCACAAGGGGCAAACCGAATCCAGCCAGAGGGAGCAAAACAGAGAAGCAGTTCAAGCATAAATTTGATTTCGAAAAGAGCTCAAACCAAGCCCACCAAATGGGTTAAAAATTAATATAAAACTTTCAACTAAATTCAGCCTAGAAGAAAGCTAAAACCGAGCCCAGCAAAAGGGGCAAAACCAAGCAGCATAGAGGCT